AGAGGCACCAGGCGGAGCCTCCGACGCCCGAACTCCTGGATAGGTTTTCGGGGCCGAAGGCCGGCTGGCCTGCCGGCTTCCCGTGCCGAGGGGAGCACCACCGCACCGGGGTCCGCGCGCCCTGCGGGGAGGGTCCTGGGATCCCGCGCGCAGCTCCGGGGAGCTTCCGGGGGAGCGGGGTGGGGAGCTGAGCCTGGGGGCGGGAGCAGGGGGCACATTTGGGTCGTGAGATACAGAGGCAAAATGAGACTTGGGGGGTCAGCACCCTGTACCCGAGACCGAGAGGCAAAAGGGACATCGCCGGCGAGGGGAGGGCGTGCCGAGGGCAGGAGCCCGGCCCCTCATCTGAATCTCGAGATCGACCAGAACGGCGATGGGGGTGGGAGTAGGGGTCCGGTTGGCCGCTGGACGGAGCAGGACCCCCAGAGAGACTGCATGCACATCCCGGGTCAGGGCAGGCCTCTGCCCTGCACTTTGCGTCAGGCTGAGAAACGGAGAGATCAGTGCTCTCTGCGGCCGGCCGACAGAAAGGCCTTCTGTGACCCTGGCAAAGGAATTCAGTTCCCTGGAAAGTACTGTCAGGCGCCTCTTGGGAACAGCGGAGAGGTTCGCTCGGGGGCGGGGGCGGCCAGGCCACCACTAACGGGGTTGGGGGGGGGGGGCACAGTTAGACACTGTGGCTGCAACAATGGGCTCAGACAATTTGTGAGGGTGGCACAGGGCTGGGCCGTGTGCCATTGTCTATACTCGAGTTGGTACCGACTCCATGGCACCTGACAATAAAAACAAATTATGGCCAAGGGGAGCCCCATGTCGCAGCTCTCCCTCTCTGGGTGTTGTCTGGAGGCCACTTCTCTTACCCACTCACCTCACTCGGAGCCCCACCTAACTTGTAAAGGCTGCACGCATGGCCTAAGACAGCATCCATCTCCCCAGAGGCCAGCCTTGGACTTTGTGCCTCCCGCAACACTTCCAGGCCCGATGTTGAGGATGTTGAGACTACAGTTCAGGGGCATCCCTTGGGGCCTCCATCGGGGCCCATCTTATAGGTGGTGGGCGAGAACTGGGTTTTAACCATCTCCAGGGCCAAACACCCACCTTCTTTCCCTCTTCCTCATTGGTGGACCCTCACGAAATTCCTCCCAATGCCCCACTGTGCCAGCTTTCCAGGAAAAACACTGGAAGGCAGGCCACTGACAGCATATGCTTCCTGCTCCCCAGGGAGCTCTTGGATCTATTGCTGGAAGTTGTAGTTTACACAGGATAATTGGCCAGTCTAGGGACTCTGCTTTTCAAGTGGGGATGTTATTCCTTTAGGAAATGATGAGGCCTGACACCGCTGTTCAAGCGATATGTATGTATGTGCTATAACTAGAGGAGCCCCGGTGGCTGACTGGGCTAATACTGAGCTGCTATCAAGAAGGTCAGTGGTTGGAACCCACCAGCTGCCCTGTGGGAGAAGGATAAGGCTGATTCCAGGAAGAAGCAAAAAACAATCCCTGAAACCCTAAGAGGCAGTTCTACCATGCCCTATAGAGGCACCATGAGTCTGAACTGACTCAGTGGCAGTGAGTTGAGTGCCCTACCTTTATCCAAAGTAAACTCGGACTTTACATTGTTATTTTTTGTAATTTTTTAAAAAATTAACTTTTCAAAGACATGCGCAAATAGCCGATGACTGCTCCTGGGGCCATTTCAATGAAGGGTTGGTGGCTTTACACCATCTTAAATGACTATAACAAAGGCTTGCTGCAGACCTAGCTTTAGTTAGAATGATTCACTGCTGCCAGAAATTATCATTGCTTCCATTTGTGATACTAACATTAGGTAAAAGATTTGGGGCTGATTCAGCTATCTCAGCCTTTTCATTTAGGCAAGAAAATTTAGCTTGATACTTGAAACCTGCAGTGACATGAAACAGGATAAATTTTCTCCATGTTATTGCAAGTATTTCTTTTCTGATTAGGCCCTGAGTTTTTCTTTCTTCTCCTTTTTAAGGACATTTAACCTCATCTCCCACAGTTACTGGAAAAGCTCCTAAAGAAAAATAAGGGCCTTGTGCTTAGCCAGGTTCATGGGCACGGCTGCAGTGCTGAAGGTCTAACAGCTATTTAACCTACGAGGTCTGAAAGTACCAAGGGTTGGGCCCAAGCTCCCTACCTTTGGAAAGACTCAACAGATAGTAATAGTTATTATAATAATATACTAATTTAAAATTATTTAAATATTCATAATGTAACATCACTTATGAATAATAATTAAGTCCCTTAATTCATCCATTCATTCAACAAACACACAGAGCAAGCGTTTGGCACGGGCAGGCTGCGAGCCACAGAGCATTTCACGGTGAGCCCGCATCTTTGTGATCAGGGGCTCACAGGTGGCGGTGAGGCAACCCAATGCGCAGATGCAAGCACTCACAGCAGTTTTGTGACAGGAAAAAAGAAAAGCATGCAGGAGAGCAATGAAATCAGCTTGGGAGGGGAATCACGGAAGATTGGCCAGAGAAGGTAGTAGGAGCTTCCTTTTTTTTTTTTCTTCAGTTTTTAAAAATAATTTTTATTGAGGGGGTCTTATAGCTCTTATAACATTCCATACATTGATTGTATCAAGCATATTTGTAAATATGTTGCCATCATAATTTTCTAAACATTTACTTTCTTTTTTAAAAAATTAGTTTATTGGGGGCTCATATAATTCTCATCACAATCCATATATACATCCATGATGTTAAGCACATATGCACATTTGTTGCCCTCATCATTCTCAAAACATTTGCCTCCCACTCT